TGGGGGGGGGGGGACAAAAAAGATGGGATGGTTTTCAGTTATTCGTAATCATGTCAATGTAGAACATTAGGCATGATTAACCAATATCCAGAAAGGATGTATGTGTGTGAAAGAATTCAGTTCTTATGGTTTAGATCAAATTTCTAATGTGTTTGCAAATGTGAATAAATAAATAAATAAATGTGTTTTACTTCCTTTTCTATGTGTTAGTTATCGAAATGTACAATAAATTCTCAACAGAGGGGCCGCGGTCATACAAAGGCTGTCTGCGGAAATCCAGAGAATTGGGAAATGGGGGAGTGGGCAGTGGTGGGGTTCGGACTCAAGACACCCAGGTGGTTATTTCGACGACCTTATCACTGGACCACGACCAAAGCTTAGTGAAGTTAATCATGCACACACACACATCAGATCTGAATCAAAATAAACCATTCCCTTCGTCATGCTATCAATCAGTCATAAATGATGGCACGAATACGATCCGCGATGCTTTTGACCCCGTCGATAAAGAATCCTTATGTGGTACATATTGTGATCCAACGGGATACTCGATAATTTCATCGGGCTTTTAAAGTCGTACTGTTCAAGGATATAGGCACGCGTCCGTACCTATGGAGAAGAATCAGCTGAGTTTACACCAGGTAAGTCTGTACTAGTGTTATTTAAGGGGACCGTAGATTGGATAATGCAACAAGCACTCATTGACTACCTCTGTGTGAAGCTTGGTCCAGGCAAATGGATCGCGGACCTCGAGTTTGACGACGATGCCACCGGAATCAGGAACACCAGGGACTACATCCAGCCACATTAATCTGCTTGTCCGGGTGAATGGTCCGGAGATAAACAAGTCGAAAAACAATACTTTCCTACCGAAATGTCGACTGCGACCCCTCTCTCGAGCTTGTCGAACCAACCCAATTCTTCAAGTATCTGAGCTAGACAATCAGAACAAACGACCAGATTAAGGATGAAATCCAACTACGTGTAGATGGAACTAGAAAAGCCTACCTGAAAATCCTCAGACTGTTTTAGAACCAATGCGAAATTAGCTTACACACTAAGCTTCAAGTTTATCAGGCTTCGGTCCGCCCTAACCTCACGTATGGTTGTGAAACATGGCCGCCAAGAGCCCAACGTTTTGACCATTACCGCTTAAGCCGCACCTCAAAAGTAAACAGGAGGGATCTCGTTTTCAATTATGAGGTTCGAGAGTGTAGTTAGAACATTGACCAACTTTCCCAGATGATACAACGCTAGCGCCATTAGTGGTTTCGCCACGCGCTCCGGTCTGTCACGGAACTCTCACGGCAGGGAGTAGCCCCTACACCCCGCCAAGGATGTCATTGCCGACTCTCTGGTCAACTGAAGACCTGGTGCAGTACGATCAAGACGGAAGTGGATCTACTGAGCTTCTGACCTGTAAAGGCACTGGGTGAAAACCTGTACCGCCGATCGTCAAGCGTGGACTGTCATTATCAGAGACATCCAAGAAGCCTAATTATCCTCACGCAGGAGCTAGTCGCTTAAAAGCAAATAAAAGTGAATGTTGACTTGCTCATGAGCGGCCAAATGTATCCCGTGAGCGTTAAGTGTTTCGCTCACAATAGAGTAATGGGGGCTTGCGGTGATGGGATTGATCTCATCTAATGTTTATCAAGTGCTGATGTGAAATCCAAATTCAAATTCAAATTTTTATTGTGGGATATAACTTACAAAGACTTCGCTTTTACAAATCCCATAGGGTGTTTACACATTGGTTCGAATGACGATTCACAATATCACAGTTAGTCCATGAAAGTGAAGTAGTAAAGTAATGTTTTGACGACCACAGGAGAATATGTTATGTAGTTGGGTGTTGAAATGTAACGTTTGCCAGAG